TAATTTGTTTACCAGAACTAAACAAACTGGCCTAAACTAACCTCTACCCTAACCCTAACCTAGGCCGAGTGATTATCATTTGATACTGTGATCATCACTGGGTCTGAAACTTCCCCCAAAACTAGTAGACACAACTTTTCTGGATTCTTTAGTATAAGTAAACAAATATTAAATGTGAAAATTTTTTAGGTTTTGCTTTTATCTTTGATGTTGAGTCATTACATCTTGTGAAGGAAGAATAAATGGGATGGTTGTATTTAATGCCATATAGCTGATAAATAAAGACTAGAATATGATAAGTATGGCCATTTGTAAAATTTAGTTTTTATTCGTAGTGAAGATTTTTTTTAAACGGTTATTTTTTGTAATCCATCAACGAAAAATTTTAGCCAATCAGCGCAACTCTATGAAAAAAAGGATGTTTGGACCTCCATTTCTTATCAATTGGAATGATAAGTGTTTTTGATCGGCTAAACGATATATTAAACTATCGCAGCTCTACATCATTCATTGGAATATTAAATACAATTGATACGGAAACTCATTTTTTTACTAATTAAAATTTGCTTCTCAACCTATTCCGACCAATCGATTAAGGCGCTTGAGAACACCCTAAATAGTAAATCAGGGTTTTTAATTTGGGCCCAATTCCAAGAATGCGCACGAATGAGATATCAGAATTATGTCCTGTTAGTAAAAATGAACTCGGTGAATACTAAGTTATATTGGGATTTAGCAATTTTTATATCACCAAAAAAAGAAAATTCTGCCCAAATTACGAAGAACATAATTTACATTATAAAGTCTGAAAGCATTACTATTTTCTTTAAAAGCATTTATCAATTAGTTATTATAATTATTTTAATTAGATGAAATTTATGCCTGAAAGCCCAAAAAGACAATTGAAAAAATTTTCATTATATCGGTTAACACTTGATTAAAGAGAAAAATTTTGGACATGTTAGTATATAGTAAAAAGTAAAAATATTTAAAGTATTTGATAAGTTCTTAGTAACATGAAATGTGAGAAAAATAAAATATTTATTTTTATTATTGTTGGTAAAAAAAAATAGTAGATAATACATTTAGCCGTGGAAAGCAATATTCACGTTCTTTTAAGATTTTTACATTAAAGATAAAGCAAAAAATAATTTGAAAACAAATTTACATGTTCTTTGGTAAGAATTGACAAATAACATAAACTACACTAAGTACAAGTCATTCTCGTTATAATGAAGACAGACACTCTTTCCGGTACAAGTGATTGAGTGTCTAAAAATAAAAACAGAATAGAAAGAGAAGCTAAAGTCCACGGCAAAAATAATACCCAACCAAGAGCAGAAGCCCTGGTAACAAAGAAAAGAAAGTCTGAAGAGCCAAAGACAAAAATGTCTGGAGGGAAAAGGCGAAAAACTCACGAAAATATATCAAATTCGAACGACGAAAGCAGCAACAAAGAAAACTTGACTCCTGCAATACAAATGAATAAATTAGAGAACACTACGTTAAACAATAAAGATAAAGATACCAACAACTGGTTCAGTATAACAGAGGAAGAATGAACTCAAAGAGATACTTCCACACTGGAGACTCAACCTGGAAGTATAGATATTGTAGAAAGTTCCAGAAAGAACTTAGAACTGGAATCATATGAAACAATATCACATGATACCAACATGATTGATGTGGAAGCAGATCCTAAGACTCCAAATGTAAATACTAGTGAACACTCAAATGAACCAACACGCATCCCCAAGAAATGGTCCAGTCTCTTTACACAACTAAGACAAAGACAAGCAACATTTTCGAAATATACACCAAGGGTTGAGATTACAACCAAAAATAATAATACGCTTATTTTGGATATTCGTTGTTTAGATGACATACAAATGAATGATATTATCTCTACATTGTATAGTAAAATTGGTGATGAGCTAATCAGGGCGAAGCCTCATTATATTAAAGGAAAAAGAACACATTTAGAATTAGTGTTTAGCAGTGAAGAGAAACAACAGTATTACGCAAAAGAAGGCATCTCCCTCTTTAGAAGATCATTATTGGGTTATATACCTACAAACCTAAGAAGAACACACTTAGCAGTAAAGGTGAGGAATATTCCGATTGGTAACAAAGACTTCATATCTAATAAGTTAAAGGAAGCATTTGACGTCTTTGGATCAATTAAATCAATCAAACCCTTGGTGTACGAAGACACCCCAGTTTGCACAGACCAATGGATAGTCCTATATGAAACGACAGAAGACCCAGAAATAGAACAAAGAATCCCAAGACACACGAGTGTGTGGGTCAAAGAGTCATGACGGAGTGGAAGCTGCACCTAAACTTTGTTTTTACTGTGATCAACCGGGTCATATGAAAAAGGATTGTCCACAATATAATGAAGCAATAGAAATTAGGAAACACTACAAGCAATATAAAGAAACTATAAGACAAAAACGGGAGAATATGCGTGATGGCAGCTCTAATGAGGATAATATCGAGGAAGGGCAAAAAGACAAAGCTACTGATAGCTTAGACAAATCTACACATAATACTGCCTGTGAGAAAGATATAGAAATGTTATCTCTAAATGGTGAAACCCTTGAAACCATATTAGAAAAAGACAAAAAAGAACAAGATCAACCAATTTTATCAAACGGGGTTCCACATCATATCGAACCAAACAGAGATTTACATCAGGATGGAATGGATAAATGAATAAATCCAGATGTTCTAAATCAACAAGTACAAAAACACTCAACTAGCAAAGACATAATGATGCAAGACACACATCACGAATATACACAAGTACTGCCACAAGGCAGCGATGTAACGGGACAAGAAAATTATGGGTTTGTGACAGTTACACAAAAATCTAGACCAAAGAAAAACACAAACCCACATGATACCAGATCTAAACCATATGAAAATATTAGACTATCTAGAGATGGTCATTACAAATGAATATATGGGGTTATTCATATTAAAAAGGCCCATTTTGCAAATTTTTGAAAAATGAGTTTTTATTAGATTCATGTAAATTTTGACATGACTAACATTTTTCAATTATAAGTGAAAGGCGATTTGCTTAATAAAAAATAGAGATAATATAAAGAAAAATTACACGAAGCTGTCTAAGGCCAAGAATATCACGAGATTACCCGATAGTCACCTGTTACTCTTAACCAATCAAAATCATGAAATTTGCTTAATCCCGGATCAGTCCGAAAATCAAAACAAATTATTAAACTCAATTATCTCAAAATTGTTTATATTGCAAAATGGGCCTTTTTAATATGAATAACCCCATATAGTATTATCAGAAGCGATTCTGAAGGCACAATCAATCCAATTTAAATACTATAATGAATAATACTAGCATTTTCAGAATTGCCACACTTAATGTTAAAGGCCTCAACGATAGATGCAAACGTCAACAGACATTTACCTTACTCAAGACATACAAGATAGACTTGATTATGATACAAGAAACGAATTTAACTGATGAAAATTTAAGGAACCTATTAAAACAACAATGGATATACGACTCTATATGGACATCTAAAATAGCCATACTGGCAGGGAATATGCATATCAAATTCGAAAATATTAATGAATCTCACCAGGGAAGGGTACTTTATACAGACTTTCAATTTAAAAAACGATGGTTCCAGGTCATAAACGTCTATGCACCCCAGCACTAGATGAAAGAATAAGATTTTTTGATACATGGTCGATACTGAAAAAAGATAATGCTGTCAACATAGTTGCGGGTGATTTCAACGTGAATCTTGATCCAAACACAAACAGAATAAGTCACGTGCCCCAACTAATGACCCTTCTAAAGAAAAGCTTAAAGAACTTACACATGGTATGGTAGACACAATAATAGCAGCATCTCAAATACCATTCCTCACATATTATCAAAACACGAGAGGAGGCCATACCATGGCCACAAGGTTAGACTACATTTTCGTAGATGAACAATATGCACAATTGCCAAAAAACACATACCAAATTTGGAAATTCAGACCACCTTATGAAATGAATTTTAATAAAAACAATCCACGAGCATCTTATTGGAAGGTGAATTATAAGTGCCTAGAAAATGAATCATTAAGAAAAGAAATCACAAAGGAGTTGCAAATGATCAAAGATCTCGAGGAGTGGGATTACTGTAAGTGTAAAATACAGTCCATAATAAGAGCAAGGAAGTTTCTCAAAGCCCCGAAAAGCAGTATTCAAAAGGTAAATAGGAAAATAACAGCACTAGAAGGCAAAATCGCCAAAGATGAGAATATGTATGACCTACATTTAGTGATTGACAAATTAAAAAAGAGTCTACATGATGAACTTACAAACTTAGCTAATAAATGGCAAGTCCATTCGAATGCAAGATGGATTGAACGAGGGGAGAAATCGACTAAATATTTCTACACTAGATTCAAAACTAGGCACAACATATCAGCAATAGACAAAATTAAGAATCCTAATGACTTAGAGACATCCAACCCGATAGAAATACTGCATTACATCAAAGAATATTACAGTCACATGTATCAACCTGAACCAATTAATGCAGAGGCAATGTTGAAAATTTTAGAAGGACTCCCACAGGTAGAAGAATCGGATAATCGTAACTTGACTAAGCACATCTCAAAAGAAGAGATATTGGAAGTCATACGTAACCTTCCCAATAATAAAGCTCCTGGAACCGATAGTATTACATACGAATTCTATAAAGAAATGATAGAGGAAAGTAGTTTAGTATTCAAAAGAATCTTCAATGATGTAATTAACAAAGGCAAAATGCCGAGTTCATGGTGTAAAAATGTGATAACCTTGATCCCAAAAAAATCTGAAGACCTTGAAGACATATGAAATTGGAAACCTATTTCATTGACGAATTGTGATGTTAAAATTTTCATGAAGATCTTAGCTAACCGTCTTAATAACATATGTCAGAAAATAATAGGCTTTTATCAGCAAGGTTTTATTAAGGGGAGATTAATTATGGATTCTATAATGGACATTATGTCTGCTATGAGAAATCAGAACAACCAAACACATCAATACTGGACGTTATTCCTTGATCAACAAAAAGCTTTCAATCGGGTCAACCATATATACTTACAAAACATATTAATGAATATGAATTTTGATTGTAAATTTATACAAACAATTAAAACATTATTTTCAGAACAAACTGCATTTATAACAGATTCTGGAATAATTTCAGAACCTTTCAAAGTTAATCGGGGGGTAAGGCAGGGTGACCCACTTTCACCTCTTCTTTATATACTTGCCTTTGAACCCTTTCTTAGGTTGCTCAATAAAAACCCAATAGGTATACAATTAAACCTACAATCAAATCAGCAAAGATTTAAACTAACAGCTTACGCTGATGACCTTACAATAAGTATAGCATCATATGCAGAATGGGACACTATTACTAAACTGATCCAGGAGTATGAAGATGCGTCGAATGCCAGAATCAATAAAACTAAATCAATATTGGTCCCACTAACAACCAATGCCCGACGGATAGAACACCCTGAAGCAAAAAAATTCAAAGTGTTGCCAGTAAATGAGTCAGTTAAAGCTTTGGGATTCGAATTAGATTCTCAAGGTCGATTAAATAAAAATACCTGGCCGAGAACAATATTAAAAATTAAAAAAACACTAGAAAAACTGTCACAACGTAGCTTATCGCTCAAGGGTAGAATCCTAATAATTAAGACACTAATACTATCTAAAATTTGGTATGTAACATATCTTGCACCTCCAAGTAGAAAGCAACTGACAGAAATTGATAATCTCATAAGAAAATGGATCAAGAATAATTGTAAGTTCCTTCCTAGATACTCAGTTTTCCAACAGGAGTATACATATGGTGGCCTGGATGCACCAATACTTAAAGATGCAGTGGATGCCAGACTGCTCTCTATATTTCTAAAACTACTTATAAGTAACAACAGTTGGGCGAAAGCAGAAAGGGAAATTATCAATTCGGAGCTGTGTAACAAAAGAAACATTACAGTATTAGGTGTGCTAAATATAATACCTATTAGAAATAGAGCCTGGCCAGAATACTGGAAACCCTTTATAGCAGCTTGGAAAAGAGCGGAGGGCTCTGTTAAAAAAGGCTCAGAAAATTGGCAATGGAACCCAGAGCACATTAGTATCGCTTAGGGATGGGTTCGGTCGGTCACGGTCAGTCATTACCGGTTATTAACGGTCAGCCGGTTGACCGCGGTCGGTTATATACGGTTATATGACCGGTCATAACCGATCGATTATTTGGATTATTGCTCTGCAAACCCTTCTTCCACTTCTAATAAAGTTGTAGAGGAATAAATTTCGGCTATAATTATGGTTTAAAAAAATCAATATCGACCCAGTGGATAAT